AAACTATAGTAACCTTTACTTGAGTTTCATTATTAAATTTTGAACAGACTTGATACGTTATATGTTCCTCAAGAAAATTATCTTTTGTTTGATGTTGAGATGCAGTTGCATGTAAGCCTATTCAAAATACTTTGCGATTTACTCTGAACGCTCTCTTCTTTTGTAGAGTTCTCACGAAATGAAATAACTGAAATAAATTTCTTACTTTCCGCCGCCAACAAGAATTGAACACACGATCTGATAAGTGAGACAATTTATTTATAACAATGGCGACAGCGAAGCACACATTATAAATGCTGATGTGGTCGCACGACTTCCCTCACGATTTGAAGTTTGAGACTGGTTTTCTGTTGAAATTCGTCTTAATTTGCCTGTTCCGATTTTAGTTGAAAATGAGTACCGGCAAATTTGTCAATTACTGACGGCGTTGCTTGCTTTTTTGGAGTTAAAACGCAGCCATTTAGACATTGTTTATGTTCTGAATAAGCAGACGGAAAACCCCGCAACATTTTAATGCGAGTTTGTTTGTTAATATTTGGGTGCTGTCATTGGTTCTTTTTTGACAATTGACGCGCGAATGGGGCGTGTTATGAAAAGGGGCGTTTTACAAAATACCGGGCCTTGCTTGCAGGCCCACTATCAGTTCCCTTGGGCCTGCACGCGGGCTATTGTGGCAAGAATTAGAATTTGTCACGGTCTGAAAATTGTACTTCTGGAATCTACGTCCAAAAGCCTTTCTGGCCATGCCTCATTCTTGCATACATAGACAGTTCGTGGACATAAAAAGCAAGTGTTTCCAGGTGCGTAAGCGAAAAAGACGTGAAAGTTAATATTATGCCGTTTCGAACCTTATGTTCGATTGAATTTCAAGGCTCCTGTGGCAGAGACTTGAATTTGGGCCAGTCCGAAGATCGTATTTTTGGAATCTATGATCAATAGGCTTTCTGTCAATGCCTTACTCGTGCATCACTAGATTTGTCTGTGGACATAAAAAGCAAGTTTTTCCAGCTGTGTAAGCGAAAAAGACGTGAAAGTTAATATTATGCGTTTTCGAATCTTATGTTCTATTGAATTCCTACAATCGCGTGCACAAATGATGAGACTCTTCACATTTTGGTGATTTTTTTCACGTGCCCCGCCTCCCAATGTTGAAAATATATTATTTGATAAGCCCTGACCTCAAAATTGTTTTAACAACATTGCACAAGGGGGAGGGGGGGCAAAAACCATTGTTACAGGAGGGAGAGGGGCAATAAACCGCTTGTCTCAACAATTTTTGCACGCGATTGTCTCACCAAAGGCCTCTTTATATGGTCCCAAACTTAATTCAATTTCTGCCAAAAATTTAACTTAACGCAATCTCGAGCAAAATTTTCATTTTTCGCGCTTTAAGCCCAGTGATCTAGTTTTTGTGCGAAACTCGCACAAAAATGGACTCAAGAGACGCAGAACAGGGGACTGGGTACGAGTAAGCAACTGTTTTGAACAGCTTATTGAATCCTAAATGTCTCCTGTTCTAAGCTTTTTTTCTATCTGGACTCTGACATCCAATTTTTGCAACTTTAAGCGACGCAAATTTTCTACTACGGTAGAAACGGACAGATTGACGAACGCGAAACAGAAATTATCTGGTTTGTTTGATGGAAGGTCTTTGATTTTACCCGGAAGATTCCGCAGGCGGAGCAGAAAGACCTGTCTCGGTACCCACGCTGTTTTGACAAAATGGTGTTTTTGGATGAACAGTTTTAACTTTTTTCATGCAGCCATCATTGCACATTTACTCTCAAAGAAATATATAAGCAAAGATGACACGTTACGCACACGTTACGCCACACGTTACGTTTGAGTTTATATAGAATATTAATGAAAACCGACACGTTACACACGTTACGCCCCATTCTTATAAACGTAGAGTAGGTCTACCTTTAATATATTAGGCGTAACGTGTGTAACGTGTCAGCTTTCTATCAATCAATCAATCAAAATTTAATCAAATAGTTTAGTTAAATAATACATTTTGATTACACGATCCCGCAATTAGCAAAGCTATTCGCGGCGGGTAGTGTATGATTTTCAAAACAATTTTTTAAATATATAATGATGTTAATATCAAATAATAACTGAATGCATGTTATTTAGAGATTAAAAGTAAATATTAACTCGATACTATATATCTGCAAATATTTAAACTAGGACTGATATATGATGTTTATATCAATCCCAGTTTTACTGTAAGCCTATAATCTATAGAGTTCATTTTGAATAAGTGTTAAAAGTAAAGCTAACGTATTTAATTATTAGGTTATTAGAAAGAAAAATATGTATTATTTTTGTAAATTAATTGTTTTTATTAGTGTTGATAAATCAATGTAGATGTCCTCATGCTCCAGAACCTGAAAAAGCTTTTTCTTCAATTTTGTTTTGAATA